TCCTGCACTGTCGCGGTTCGAATCCCGCTGAGGGTGTTTATAAGACCAATGCGAGGTCGAAACTGCAGTCAACTCCGACCGGGAAGAAGGAAACAATTTTTGGGAAAGCAAGGCTATGTGAAATTCAATGGAAACGTCAGCTCAACTCATATCATTGTGGGAAAATTATACTTTGGGAAAGCAAGGCTATGTGAAATTCAATGGAAACGTCAGCTCAACTCATATCATTGTGGGAAAATTCGATGGGAAAGCAAGGCTATGTGAAATTCAATGGAAACGTCAGCTCAACTCATATCATTGTGGGAAAATTCTAATAGGAAAGCAAGGCTATGTGAAATTCAATGGAAACGTCAGCTCAACTCATATCATTGTGGGAAAATTCTACCACGGAAAGCAAGGCTATGTGAAATTGAATGGAAACGTCAGCTCAACTCATATCATTGTGGGAAAATTCTACTTCTACCAGTCCTTCATCACCTTAAACGAAATTGGTTGAACACATCTCAAACTTATTTTTCTTATCATAAATATCAACACAAAACTGTAGCATTGAAAAGGCCTGGGCTTTTTGAAGTTCACTTTTGTCCCTTGAATCAAGGTAGTCTGGCAGTCTGGCGTACTGGGCAATATATCGAAATTATAGGTTACACAACCACGGCCCAAGTTCGAGTCCCACAGGGGATGCTTGGTAGACCAGTTCAGACGAAATTGAAATGGCAGTCCATTTTAGTCGGGAGGATAATGACCTTTATGAAAAAAAGTCAGCAACTGAGGTCTATACATAAGATTGTAGGAAAATATAACTATCTCTCCTTCCTCAGCTTGTGCAACATGGTGTGACTAAAATGCTTACTTATGGAAGACGGCCAATTTGTGCTCATTATCGCTGCAGGAAATTCATTTTCCCCCACCAACCATCATTACGCTGTGCTTCTTCTCTACAAATGACCACCAAAGCGTTTTGTTGAATAGATAATGCTGTCATTGCACAGACTTATGCATATCTGCTGAATGCATGACAGAAAAGTTTTGCTCAAACTGGTGGTAGGGAAGGAGATCAGATCTTGTTGTTAAATAAACCTACCAAAGACCTCCATAAAAGGTCATTGTCTGTAGGTGATTACTTACTAAATGCTGGTAGAATTATTATTATTATTTATTTTTATTATATAAGTAGAGTTTCGACACTACCAGTAAATAATAATAATAATAATATTTATTTATTTATTTATTATTTACTTATTTCTTTTTTATATTATAGTGTTCAGTACTGTCTTATTAAATGATATGCACTTCTCTTTATTTAGAGCAGCGTCCAAAAATAAGAGCATTTTCTGGATTAAAATGCTATTTAGGAAGCAGAGGTTAGTGGAAGCCAAAGCCCTAATCGCATGTTTATGGGAAACTTTAATTATCAGTCAGTCATCAGCTGACGCAATCTTGGCTGACGGGAACTCTAATTAAAGATGTAATGCAGTGTGGTTTTGTATCTTATATAAAATTGGGTAAAAAAACAGCCTTCGGTGCTTAAAGACATTATGCGAGTGGTGGTATGGAAAAGGTCATATTGGCTGCAACAATGTGTTGTCTCCAACGCCAACTGTGATTTCCCAATTCACACAGGCGTTCCTACATTTTTTGATGCATGCTATCGA